GCATGGTGTTGAAGAACTTAGGACAGTGCCTGGTACGTGCTAAAAGTTTAACAGGGGTTAAATGAATGAATAAACAAACTCTCAAAGAGAATTTTTTTTTTGCACCAGACCAAGCTGCCAATCTGAGTACAAGTTAACCTGTTCAAAAACATCACTTAATTCTCTGTACTTCAATGTCCTCAGCTGTCCTGCAGTTCCTGAGAGAAGAGGAATGTAATTGACTCATCTGTTTCTATGACAACCAGTTCTACAGCCATCCCACCTTTAATTACTTTGTTCAAAACCTATGCACTGCTATTAACCACTCAGCTTTTCAGCAAACCTGAAAGCAGACATCACCACATTCACTCCTACTGCTACTCTCCCCGACACATCAAGACCAAGGCTGAGCAAACTTTCTGTAAAGGGCCACACACAAATATCTGCAGTTTTGCAGGCCATTTGGTCTCCATCACCACTGCTCAACTCTGCAATTATGGGGCAAAAGAAGCCATACGTAATATTTAGATGAATGACCATAGCCGTGTTCCAAGAAAACGTTACTCATGAACTGAAATTTGAATTTCATATAATTTTCATATGTCACAAAACGTTTTTATTTTTCCAACCATTTAAAAATGTAAAAATCATTCCTAGCTCCAGCGCTGAAATAAACAGGTGGCAGGTTAGATGTCCTTAGTGATCCAAACCTTTTCCCACTGCTAAAAAGCAGCACTGAGAGCTGAAAAGTACTTTCTGAAAAAAGGTTCTGCAGAATCAGCTGGCTGACTTCTCTCTCTTCTTCTTGCTTGCAATTTTAACTTACAAATAATCTGAAATCAGAAGAACTGAGATAGCGAGGACTATAAAACTCGCCTGTTAATATTTAATCATAGCAGCGCTGACTGATAAAAAATGTTTACATATCTTTTAAAAATTACATTAAAGTCTTCTCATTATACAGAGACAATTTCTCTATCAATCTTAACTGACATGCAATTTTACTTTCTTCCCTCTATCCTCCTGACCTCAAAATTTGTTGCCTGAATGAATAAAATGCAAATATTAATAGAAGCAGTGACCACTGGTCTTCCTCTATAAAAACTGATATTTTTAACTATATAATATTAAAAAGATTAACAATACTGGATTTTAAAAGGCTGGCAAGAAACATATACCCCTGGTGGTTGTATAAATAATTAATAGTACAATCCTTCTGGAGGGAAAACGTTTGACAAAATTTATAAAAAGTTAAAATGTATATAACTTTTTGACAACATTTATATTTCTAGAAATTTAAGAAAACAGACAAGCCAACACATATTTATATACAGTGAGTTTTATACTTTGAAGAATTATTTATAATCATAAAAACATTAAAATAATTTAAACATCCAACATAAGGCTTGGTTAAATAAATCATGAATGGTATACAATGAAATTCTGGGTAGGCGTAGGAATAATGATGTAAATAAGCCAGGTACAGTGGCTCGCACCTGTAATCCCAGCACTTTGGAAGGCTGAGACGGGCAGATCGCTTGAGCCCATGAGCCCGTGAGTTCAAGACCAGCCTGGGCAATATGGTGAAACCCCATCTCTACCAAAAATACAAAAATTATCTGAGCATAGTGGCACAGGCCTGTCCTAGCTACTCGGGAGGCTGAGGCAGGAAGACCACTTGAGCCCAGGAGGTAGAGGATGAGCTATGAACATGCCACTGCATTTCAGCCTGGGCAACAGAGCAAGACCCTGTCTCAAAAAAAAGAAAGGAAGGAAGGAAGGGAGGGAGGGAGGGAGGGAGGGAAAGAAACAATAACGTAAATAAGTAGTCCACATAGATATGTCCACAAGATACTGAAAGAAAAAAAAGCATTATAAACTGCATGTACTGTTTGATCTCAATTGTAAAAATTTCTACATACAGGTTGTAAATGTACCAGTGTATATGTGAGGCTGAAAACAGAGAAGCAGCGAAGCAAGGAGTTAAAAAGAACGTTCAGGAAGATGTTCACAGTGGTTGCGCCTGGATGGTAGGGATTTCAATGATTTTTATGTTCTTGTATATATTTTTCTGTATTGTTTCTATTATGTTGCAGTGAGCATGTATTAATTTTAAATTTTAAAAGACTTATTAGAACATATAACACAAAGAGTGACCGCTAATGTAAACTGTGGACTTTGGGTAATAACGATGTGTCAATGCAGGTTCATAGGCTGGCAAATGCCCCACTCTGCCGCAGGAGGTTGATAGTGGGGAAGGCAGTGCATGTGTGGGGACAGCGGGTATTTGGGAACTACCTGTACTGTTTGCTCAATTTTGCCGTGAACCTAAAACTGCACCAAAATAAAAACGAAGTGTATTTAAAAAAAAAAAAAAAAAAAAAAAAAGCTTACTAAAATAATTCTTATCCAAGTAATTCTAAAGTTCTGTTAATTAGAAGCAATTTGAGTCCCGTAAAAGTACATCTAAAAGGCTTTTATCAGAGGTGGTTTTAAAATATGGCAGATTCCTCGGCGCGGATGGGGAGAGTCAAGAGAACGAAAACACCAAGTCCTGAGCGCCAGCTAGCTGGTGGCTCCCTGCCAGAAACCCATCGAAGAACACGCTCTCCTTGTGAGAACCTATTTTGTGCATTCACCGTGAGGATACTCTACTGTTCCTCTCCTGTTATTTCTGATTTAACAGAATGTTTTCAGTGAAAGCTTAGAGAACTTAAGACTGGGTTAGATAATCAAGGGCTCAAGGAGAGCAATTTAACACTTTGTCTTAGATTAGCTTTAAGATGGAATTCTGGCTGGGGTCTAAGACCCTGCTGCTAAAAGATAAGATGGTCTTAGGGGATTTGATGGAAGAACAAATACCCAAGATGAGATTCTGATGATAAGCCATTCCTGTTACATTAATACAAGGCATTCTGATGCAGGTCTGAGGGTAAGAGCAGAGTTGGAATAAACTAATGGGAAACTACTAAGTCTTACCTCAATGTTCATTTTATTCTTTCTAAGAAATATTTACATTATAATTTATACTTCCTTTGCCATATACATACTTACACATGTATGTCACATCTATTGACTTTTATTTTAACAGAGCAAAAGGCTTACAGATTTCTATAGCAAATGTATACTTTGTAGTCAGAACTACTTGAATGATTTTTTTTTTAATTGCAGGAAGACAAAAGCCACCCTTGATAAGAACTAGGATTCTTATCAAGGATTTGCAAACTCTAGTAGTACAGTATATAAGTATCTTACATTAACAATGGGATGTTAACTGGTTTATAGTGAAATTCTAATAAGTCATGGTTCCAAATTCTCAACAACTATCAAGTCATACTATGTATGAATCTCAATGCAAATGAAGCTTAATTTACAAAAAGGACTATTAATAAATGATACGATATGCCCAACAACATCAAGTTGTTACATGGGATAAAATAGGTACTACTAACTTAAGTTCAATACTGATGGCACTTGTTCAAGATTAGCGTTATAAACACAGCACCAGAGTAAGCAGTTTCTGGTTCCTTGACATTATTCTCACTAAACGTAGTGCTAAACCTGGTGAGCAAATTTGTTACTTTCCCTTGGGAAACATCTAAAATTTAAAATGCAGTTTATTTGGGAGAATAATTTTGTGTTCAAGACATTTTTAATCACGCAGGCATTATCTTAACATTTTTTGGCCGGGCAGCTTTTCTACAAACACAGAACTCTTACACCTCAAAAGTGGTGAAATAACAGAATGCAATGACTCTTGTGGTAAATCCTCATTTCCTAAGACACCCCCCTTTAAGAGTCAGAAGATACATTATAACAAATTCATAAGAAACAAAGAACTCAAAATTATTGGGAGAAACTGTCGGATTTTTTGAGTTGGGAAACAGCTTAGAGCATGAAGAAAAACAGCAGCGTACCTCAACCATACAAATGCCACAGAACTTCTTGATGAAAAGTGTCCACACATTTCCTAGCCATATTTTATTTTTAGGCTTTTATATGTTAATGTGTAAAAAACAGATGTGATTCAATTTCAGACAATCTAATAGGAATGCTTTTCCTCACCAGCCAAAAACTTAACTTGTTTTGAAAAGGAGTCACACCATGGAGCTCCTTTAAGAATTCAGGGGGCTTCCAGGGGGCAATGACTTGAACTAAATTCATCACAAATGCTGAATTCCTATGCAATACCCCAGGGAACAACAAAAGCAACAATGACAAATTTTATCTTCACAACTATCCTAGGAGATATCTTTTATCTCTATTTTTTAAATTGAGGGTTGTCTAGCCCAGAGGTTATATACCCTGCTCCAAGTCACGAAGCTAGAGGTAGGATTTGAACTCAGGCAATGCAATGAAAACCTTAACTGCCTCCCAGTGTGGCAGGGAGAGATGCATTCTAGTTCTGCATCTACAGGCTTCTCAAGTGGAGACCCACAGAGAAGGAGAGCTCAGCTCTGTCTCCTGACTGCTTCCCCTCTCAAAGGAGCGTGCAGATGCCCTGCTGTCTTCCAGGATTGCTTGGAAAACATGAAATTAATAGATGAAAAACTCCTGAAAAATTACAAGCGCTATATATGTGCCATATGCTAAATATATCCAACTCTGAATATCCTAGCAACACCGAAATTACTTTCTAAAATATAGAGAAGAACCTAACAGTGCTTTCTTTGCAGCCACCATAGTGTCTTTTATGGGGTTTATCTGGAAGCCTGTGAAGTGACAAACCATCGAACAGGAAGTCAAAGTCTTAGTTGCAAAGCAAAACACCCTGGACACGGCAATATAAAACATGGAATTGACATTTATTGTTGAGGACAGCCAAGCAGTTTCAAAATACAAAAGCATATATAAATAGCAGTCTGTATCCAGGGAAACACATTTTCTCTTTAATAAAAATATTCTTGATTTTAAAGAACACATTAAAATGATTGTTTTAATTTCAAAATGTCAAATTCTGAGAGAACAGAATAATTATTTCATAAAACTCTGAAAAACAAAGAATCAGAATTACTTCTTACCTCCCACATGTATACATTATTCTTAACCTGAGATCTTTTTTTCTTATCACCAACAAATGGCCCAAATTTTTTGCCTTTTAAAATTGGTTTAGTGGCCCAGACACCTAGAAAATAAAATCAGTATTTTTATAACGTATCATGGTTATTTTAAAGATTGAAACCATTAAAATCGATTAAGTTTCACAAAATAGGTAAAAGGCTAGACTGCCTAAATCAAGCTAATGTTAAATAGCCTGAGATCAAGTTAAATTAAGTCAAGTCCTCAATGGGGATTTTTATTTTTCTTCTTTATACTCTTCTGTTCTATAAAGAACCTATATTGTTTTATAATTAGAAAAAAATGTTGTATATATTTTTAAATGTTTTACATGTAACACTACCCACACAGTAGGATCACAAATACTTGAATAACAGTCACAACAACTGAAGAGAAAAAATATTGGAATGGAGTGAAACTATAACTGATTTTTAAACTCCTCTGTCTGCTTGTCTATAAAGTTCAAATTGTCCCTAATGAACATGACTTGTTCTTTTAAAGGGTTAGAAATATAGTTTTATGAATAAATATTTTTAAAGTTCATTTGCTTAAAATGGAAAATGCTTTCCTGCCTAACTAAGCTTCCTGAAAACTTAGCTACTGGAACGGCTCACTTTTCAGTTTCTAACAGCCAAAATAGCTGTTCATCCACAGTATTCTTAGGGTTATTTCTATTTATTATGCACTGACCATAATAGAAAGAGATTTAATGAGCAAGCAGGCAGTGAAATGGCAGGAGTCTGGCCCAGCAGTCAACAAACTGGCAGACAGCAGCACCTCAGATCGGTTCCCTCACCTTTCGGCTTCAGTTTCCTCATGTACGGAATGGGGGGTAAAGGCTGGGCCAGTCCTATCCTGCTAGGATGTACAAATCCCACTTTTCTGTAAGTCTGCTATGAACTGCATTTGACAACAACACTAACAATCAATTAGTTGAGCTATAAAATCAACCACTTTCATTTGAACAATATATTCAAACTGCTCAATGAATAAGTTTCCAATGAGAATTTTTAAGAGCGTGTGTTAAAATTTTTTCACACACGTGTACATATAAATTGGAGTATCGGAAGTACATCTAAAAGAAAGAAACAGGGATATAAATATAATGTATTCCAAGACTGTATTTTGACTAAAGTTTTACAATTCACTTCCTTAGCCTTCTGTCTAAAGATTAGGCCACAAAAAGACCAAACACACACAAGCTTGGTTTGTGTTCAAGGAGAAATCCTAGCCAGAAGAATTTAGATACACTCACAGCATGTCATTCATTCAAGTATCTACTGAGGGTCCACAAAGTGTATGGTACTGGAGGCACAAAGATACATAAGAAATAAAGGCACTCACAAGAAACAACAGGGCCAAGTGTAAAAATAATTACAAAACAATGAAGTGAATATAATGGCACAATCACGTTCATCATGGTGAAATCAGAGAGAAGGGAACAACACATTCTGTGGGGTGAGGTTCAGCAAGGAGACTCATAGGAGGAGGACACTTGGGCAAGTAAAGAAGGATGGGACGTGTGTGTGTGTGTGTGTGTGTGTGTGTGTGTGTGTTTTCCCAGTTTTATTTTTACAACCCATGTCCAACCTGGATTCTTGACTGGAAAATGCATCAACACCATAAAATCTTCTAAGTCAAGGGTAAATCCGCTGCTTTTATGGTGTGCTCCCTACCTGATATGCCCCTGCAGGAAGCCGCACTGCCACCTGCTCTTTACTGCCTGACTTGCTCCGGGACAGGAGTAGTACTCACCAATCCGGGTCTTGTCAACAGCAGAAGGGAAAAGCCTCACTTCCTCCGGAAGTCCTCGCAGCACATGTTCGGGTACCTCAGCCAGGGTCTCAGTGGCCACCGCAGGCTCAGTAGTGTTCTGCAAGTCAAGAAATAGAAGGATCATAGCAAAAGAAAGAAAACCCAAATCGTGGGGTTGGTTTTTTTTCTGGTTCAATAAGCAAATATGCAAAAATGTGATCGAAACCTGAAGCTGGCAAGCCAGACCAAAACGATGATGTCAAGCATTTGAGGAGCTGCTTTGATGCTTGTTTGTAACTGTCCAAAGGAAACCACTGCAGCCTTCAAGCATGTCTGTGTTACTCTATTTTGTTCCAGCCACCTGTGGCCATTTCCAAAACATGATAATCTCTGGCACCATACTGCTTTAAACTCAAATAGAATCTGGCAGCAAAATATAGCATAAGCTTACTTCTAAATCAAAGGCTACCATCAGTACCGTAGCACATTTAAAAAATAAAAACCAACATTGCCCACTTCAATGAATGCTTTCAGCATATACCACAAAGGCTACTGGGGCCCTCCAACCCTGCCCCATCCATGTTGCCCTCCAGCAACAACCCCTAACTGGATGGGGCCTGAATATTCCACTCCAGAACACGACAACTTATTGTGGTCCCTCACTGCAAGTGCCACCTTTCCAGGAAACAGTAATTTACCACTGTTCACCAAGTCACTAAACAGCAAAATCACCAGGATATCACTGAGTTGCTAAGAAACACAGAATTTTTTAAAATTACTTTTCAAAGTTTAGGCTGGAATTCATAATCTTAAGAAAAGATTACTATTAGGTATGTATGTAAGGAAGGGAGAGATTTGAGCCAACTGGTAGAATATGACTGTTATTTTTTGATAACTTTCAAATCAAAGGAACACCAAGGGTCTAGTAACCGGTACATCATATATCCTACGGAGCTGATGTGCTTATCCAGTCTAACTGATGTGCGTATCACGGCACTGCTAAGAATGATAGGCTTTGTAGTCTGAGTGTGTTTCATTTCACTGCACAGGGAAACATTTCTCCAGGACTTTTAAAGGAACCAACATAAGCAAAAGTAAACCCTCAAACAAAAAAGATCAATTTTTCCCACAACAATGAAGCTCTTGTCGTCTTCAAGAATATATGTACAAAGAAAAGAATATCATCCAAACTGGTATACTCTCAGCATTTCAATTTTTGGTTTATTAATTATCAACAGTCTACTTCAAGAGAAATAAATCTCATAGTCACAAACATGGTCATCTACTCTCTGGCCTGCTTCAAGCTGGAGAGCCCAAGACAGGGCATCTAGATACAGGTTCGTCTCTTGTGCAGAGCCGAGCCAAATGAGCCTACATTTCAGACACATAAATGCTTTGTTCCTGCTTGATTTACACCTTTGTCCCAACAATATCCCCGAAACATTTTCAAAACATAAGATAGCCAATTAGCCCCAGAAAATGGTCTTACTGGTACTTCTAATTAGCTAAAGTGTGAATAAATTAACTACAGACATTTTTCACTTCTAAATATAGCGTCCCCGTTTTTAAATTCTTAATCTATAAGCTGGATTTTTGGAAATGTGAACAATTTATTTCCAAAGAGGGAAAAGGTATTACATTGGTAGTTGCCATTGGTATCCTAAGCTACATAATGATTATTTCCTAACACTGATAAAGTAAGTGACATTAACAAACATTAGCCAGAGTGATGTCCTATCAGCACTGGCCATTTAGTAAAGTAAAAGGGGGTCTTCTTCTTCCGTCTCAGTTGGGACCCTAGGCAAACACGCAGCACCATTTATTCTCCCCAGAAGCACAGCCGATTTCAAAAGTCACCGTGTCTGCTAACCTAAACGGATACTTCCAGGCACTTTCACAGTAATTCTAATGACAACTTCACATTTACTGAGAACTTCCTTGCTCAAGGCACTGTGCTGTCTTATGTGCTGGGGAGAATTTACTCCAAATAGCCCAAGAAACAGGTATTATCAGTGTCTCCCGAATTAGAGCTTACGGACGTCGCTTAAATGGCTCAAAGCCTGGATGTGAACCTGTATCTGTCCGATCTGAGTGCCTATGGTCAGTCCTAACCATCATGGAGTTTTGACTTAAGATTCTGCTAGAATATCATCTAAGAACCTCTGCCCTAAAACTTCCAGATTTTCATGGAAATGTCAGCAAGACATGGTGCTTAAGGCAGGAATGGTCATTCCCATAGGAAATGTGTAACTTGAGTACAAGTTGGAGATCACGTGTATTAAAATTTCTGAAGCACCTGAGAACATAAAGGACCTCAGCAGAGATGCCATGGGAAAAAGAAATACCAAAAAATCCTATGCATTTGTTTATCTGTTTTAAGTCAACCCATTATTTTTTGTCTTTTTTTTTCTTTTAAATTACTCTTTTATTCCACATCTTGTCGCAGTAGACCCATTGGTTTTCCTTTTGGACTCATACACCCAGTAGAGGAAAGCTTTTTCTGTTATTGTCGTATCCTTCACATTACAAAAGGACCGAACTACAAGAGGAGCACCTCAGTTCACAGCAGCACAACCCAGACACTGGGCAGCCCCAGGGCCCTCCCTCCCTTCCGCCCACATCCCCACTGGGCTCTCCATGGCCATGGGTATGGCTGCAAACTGTCTAGAACATTTCTAGAAAATCAGTGATTTGAGGAGTAGAAAGTAGATTCATGGGCTGGACTTCCTAAATAGAACCACCCTCTTTTCTTCCTTGGTTCTCCTTCATAGCTCTTACCACAGTTTTAAATGCTTATTTGTATAGCTCTGTGTTTACTGTGTGCCTCCTCTGTGAGACTGCAGTGAAGACAGATGGTGTCTATCTTATTCAATGTTGTGTTCCCCCAGCTTAGCAGTAGATTTCAAATGTTTGTTGTCACTTAAATACTTGAATGAGTACATGGCTCTTTGTAAGCTAACTTAAAAGCTTTTTCTAAAAAGGAGGGATAGAAATAAATAAAAGAGCAGGGTCATCTATCAGAAGTATCTTCTCCACATGAGCCTGAATTTCTTGAATTTGCAGTAGGTATTCTTCTTGATCAATATAAGAACCCTTTTTTAGAAAATGTGGTATGCCATTAATTCCAAGCAATCAATGTACAAGTAAACCTTAGGAACAAAAGGAATGTTTTCAAAAAGTTCTCTCCCCCACATACTCATAAACTGGGATCTCTTCTTGGTATATATCCTGATAGGATTAGATGTAATATTATATCTAAATGGGTTCATCTTGATTCTTACACTAAAGAATCACAATTTGATCCTGGCACTATTTCCCAGATTGATCTTGTCTAAAATAAATTGCACCATCTACTCTATATATTTATTTATATATTTCCGAATCCCTGCTATGGGCCAGGCAATGTTCTAGGCAGCACGGTTGCCTCAACAAGGCATCACTCTGGTGAGAAATAGAGACAAAATTAAACACATACATACAACGGCTGATGCCCTGTAGAAAACTCAAGCACAAAAAAGGGGACACATGCCTTCTGATCAATGGTGAAAGAAAAAAAGAGGGGAATGTCGGGTGCAATGGCTCACGCCTGTGATCCCAACACTTTGGAAGGCCAAGGCAGGCAGATTACCTGAGGTCAGGAGTTCGAGACCAGCCTGGCCAACATGGTGAAACCCCGTCTCTACTAAAAATACAAAAATTAGCTAGGTGCGGTGGTGGGCGCCTGTAATCCCAGCTACCCAGAAGGCTGAGGCAAGAGAACTGTTTGAGCCCGGGAGGCAGAGGTTGCAGTGAGCCGAGATCATGCCACTGCACTCTAGCCTGGCTGATAGAGCGAGACTGTCTCAAAAAAAAAAAAAAAAAAAAAAAAGGAAACACAGTCATGGAGTCATGGAATAGGGATGGGGATGCCTTTTCAGACAGACAGGTGAGGCCTCTCCAGAAGTAGAAAGGAAATCTGTGACATTATCAGGGAAACGTGCCACGAAAAGAAAACAGCCAGGACCAAATCTCAAATTAAGAGGAAAAGCAGTATCCAGGCAAAAAGACCCATGTGTCCAGGGCAGAGAAGTGAGAGAAGCAGCTAAAACTGAGGCAGGAGGGGCAGGCAGGGGTAAGGCCTCTGAGAAACACTCATCGCCATTCGCTCGTCTACCCATTCGCGGAGTAGAAGTCATCAAGCAGAGAGCAGAGAGCAGATCGCAAGCTCTGCAAGGCACCCCAGCTGCTGGCATCTCCCAGCACGCCCCATCCTTGCTGCCCCTGAATAGAAGTATGTTCCTGTCTTATGGGTTTTTAACACTGATCACTGTGATATAAAAGAAGCTAAAGGACTTCTCTGCTTCCCTGTTAGTTGACCTCAATGAGGACTCATTATTTGACTGCTTAATGAAGTACAGTCTTTAAACATGTATCAGTGAACAGATCTGGAACAATACGTATTAAATTTAACATGTTAAATTTAAGTCAATTTAATGTCATTTAGTTGTTAACTATTAATTGATCTCATTAATCCGATGTTTCCAACTTCCTACCTCAAACTCAAAGAAAGTCACTACTCGCTTCTCTTCCCCCAATTAATCGCCAAAGCCTCCCTCCTTCATTCAGCCCATTTGTCAGACACTAACATGTACTCCCTGAGTGTCTGCTCAGGGCTAGCACCATGCTAGGTGGTAAGGATCAAGGACCCCCTCCTCATGAAGCCCACTGGCTAGAGGAAGAACTTCTCTGTTCCTGCTCCCCGAGACAAGAAACCTTAGAGAGATTTTGATTTGTGAGGTTTGACCTTGCTAGGGAGCCTCTGAAGGGCCTTTCTACTGCTTTCCTGATACATTTCCTCTGACCCAGGATGACCTTCCCATGCTGGACGGGGTGAGGAGCTTAGGGAGTACAACGTTTATTCCATTCTCCAGGCCAAGATCTGTGCTAAGCACTTTACATGCATTACCTCATTTAATCCTCACAACAATAACAATCACAACTAACACAGATGGAGTGTTGGAGATACATCAGACACAATTCCAAGCACTTATCACCTCACTTGATCTGCACACTACCAATTGCCATAGGTACTTTTATGATCCCCATGTTACAGATGAAACTAAACCTTGCCCATAGTCA